CCCCCGCGGACAAGGGCTGTTGCGGGAGCAGCCTCTGCCCACAGTGAGCCTCGGCTCACCCCCGGCAGAGGCTGCTTTGCAGTAGCCTCTCCCACCCCACTGCTGCCTGTGATAGCAGCACCATAGAGACGGTGCTGGGGGGAACTAGCTTCCCCCAGCACCAGCTCCTCTCCCCACCCCACAATATAATATACCTATCTCCTAGAACTGGAAGGGACCTTGAGAGGTCATCAAGTCCAGTCCCCTGCCCTCATGGCAGGACCAAGTACTATCCCTGACAGATTTGCCCCAGATCCCTAAATGGTCCTCTCAAGGACTGAACTCACATAGCTAGGTTTAGCAGGCCAATGCTCAAACCACTGAGCTATCCCTCTCCCTTTTCTGCCACTTCTCATGGAGGCAGCCGGGGGGAGGGGAAGTGAGTGGTCGATACTCCAGTTGACTACCCGATAAAGCTTTTGCTTATCAGGTAGTCAACTAGTTGACTACTTGCTTACATCCCTAGTTCCAAGCTAGGCTAAGCTGTACTGGTACCAACTGTGACTTTGCCTGTGCACAGTAAGAGTTTGCACCAGGTTGCAACTAAATCAGGTAACATCATCTCTCCTGTGAAGAGAGGAGCTATGCAAATGCAAAACATTGTACTTTCACCGAGTAGTCTCAGTATGGTTTGCACCAGAGGGTCAGCATCAATGTCTCATTTTATAGATGTGGAAACTGAGGCGGAGAGCAGGGAGGTGACTTGCTCCAGGCTACCCAATGGGTTAATTGCTGTGCTGAAACAATAGCTGGGAGTGCTGACTCCCAAGTCCTGTTTTCATTGATAACAGATGCTCTAGAGACAAGATGAGACTTAACAAGAGATACCTACAATACCCTGCTGATGACAACTGTATTTAGACCCAGAGGAAAGTATATTAAATAGAATGAGCTGGCCTTGTTACATGGGGACTGCTTCCTCCTGCATCTCAGAACAGTAATGAGATTATCCTGAACATGAAACTATTGTCTCCGGTTCTTGCATCCTCCAAGCGTGACTGGCTGCCGCTGACATTCGGGAGTGACGTCAGCAGCAGCCTCAGGTCAGACTTGCTGTGCATAATTGGGTTGCACATCCACATAAGTATAGGGTCTGACAATTGCACGTGACAAATAACCCAAAGTCCAGCTGCTGCTGCCATCTCAGCATGACAGTAAAGCTGCATAATACACTGCAGAGACCAGGTCCCATTCTGCTCAGAGGAGGTCACTGAAGTTCTATGCAACCATCCCTCTATCTCTCGATTCCTTCTGCAATTTTGACTGAATCTCCCCAGCTGTAATTAATTGAACGCATCTGTTCTAACCCTGGGGCTGCTCTTTGGCACAGTTATTTCAAAACTGTTCAATTAGCAACCCCTAAAATCTAGGTCGAATGGAATTCTGGTTCGGGCATTTTCCAGGTCAGGACATTGATTTTTTTTTTTTTAATTTTGATAATGTTGTTATGTTTGGCAACACAGTCTGGTTTTGTCGGTTGCAGTTGGGTCATAAAATGGCAAGCCACAAGGGTGGTTTTGGGGTGTGTGATAAGTCAATGCATCCTGTAGTAGAAATACCACAATAAATAGGGCTTAAACTAATTTACAGTTGTAAGGAGAGTAAACTGTCAAGAACTGGGTGCTGGTGAGATGTAACTAGCAGTGTAAACATTAGCAGATCAGGCTTTCAGTGTTCAACATAATACAATCCATAGGGTCTTCTTTGGGAACACAATCCTTTACAGAACTATGGTAAGTGATACAAGATATGCTACATGGTATGAGGTGCAGAGAGCAGCGGTGCACAGACGCTGTACAGTGAATAAATTAAAGCCTTCAGTCATAAGGCCCAGAGTGCAAAGAGAAAGAAATTGAGGCATAGTCAGTGGAGAGATACAACACAATACAAACACGATGCAGCTGTCTGTCGTATGGTCTATAGAGCACATTACAACCCAGAACATTTTTCCAAATTACATAACACAGCTTCAGTGTTAATCATAAATAGGAGGCGAAGGGAGAGAAATTAAGAAGCATAAGAGGGAGAAAAGCAATAGCTTCAGCTGAGATTTGAAAGGATGCAGGAAGACAGTAAGATGAGGCAGGAAGGGAGGCTACTCCAGGCCACAAACACTTCAGAGAAGCAAGCTCCTGCACTGATCACAAAGGATATGAGAGGAGGCCAGCGTTAGGTAAGTGGAGGGAATTAAAAAGGGATCGCCCATAGAAGTCATGGGGAGGGGCACATGCTGGTTAGGCTACTTTGCATTTGGCAACATGAATGATTATCAGTGCTGGTGTGTCACAGTTCATCTCTATGTACTAACAATGCAGATCCCACCTACGAAGCTGTTCTGAGGTTGTGGGGGAAGTGGGCAGCTGGTAGGATGGTAGGAGGACCAGACAGCTGGTGCTGGGAATCAAAGGCTGGGATTAAGACTAATCTAAGTCAGTCTTGCATTAATACTAATAATGGTCCTTTGCTCTTAACTAGCAATTTCACTATCTGTCTCAAAGTGCTTCACGGGTGGCAGGTCTCTTTCCTTATCCCCATTTTACAGACACGGACCTGAGGCATGGAGACTTTCCCAAGGCTTCTCAGCAAGCCAGTGCAAGAGCCAGGACTGGACCCCAAGCCTCTTGGGTCCCAGTCCTATGGCCCCTCACTGGCTGGGGATGGGAACGTGATCTTTAATGAAACCCTATTGCAAGTGGAGGCAGTCACGATTGAAGGACTCTATAAATGGACCTCTTCCGAGCCTACCCCTCTCCCTTTAGCATTTCAAAGTGTTGTTTGATGTGCTTCTCGTTGCCTTACTCACTCATAAAATGTGGTATTAACATTCAGAGCCTGTCCAAAGCAGAACTTAACGAAGTTCTCCATAGCAGCAGCTCACTTCTTTAAGGTTATGATCTTTTCTATGTCTGCTAGAAGATCCACCTGGCATTGATTGGGTCTCTAATTCAATTACATGTTTGTTTTCTGAAAAATAAACTGGTGGAGCTGGGGATGAGGGGTTCAGGATGCAGGCTGCCCCAAAGAGAGAACACTACCCTGGTCCTCTCTTACCAGCAGCTTGGAGCCAGGTGAGGAGCACCTCTCCATGGCCTCTGCAGATGCAGCCAGAGGAAGGGTGCATGTCCTCTGGCTGGGGCAGGTCCAGGTTCATCTGCCTCCTATGCCCCCCAGCCAGAGTGAGGAATGCAGCAAACTGTGCACTTTCCCCTCACTTCATACAGCTTCGGCTCCCCACCTCACCCTCCCTAAAGGGTTCCTGGGGGTGGAAGGCTCCAGGCTGGAGCAATCCTGGATGGGGGCGGGTGGAATATACCACCAGCCAGCCCCTTTCACCCGTCTGGTGATTCTGTCTCTTTTCAGCATGGTTTTCTGAGAAGCAATCCTATTCTAGGCACATCCCATTGTCCTGGCACAACCAAACCCTGACCTTGCTTTAAGTTATGATACGAGGAATCTGGATACTGAATTTGGTGGTTCTAGCTCTTACCGTTTAGAAGGAGTTCTTGAACAAACAGAGAGACTCTCAAATAAATAGTAGATAAAAAGGGAACTGATCCTATCAGTGTAGCCCACATTTCTGCTGCTGATATTGGTCAGGCCTCTGCCTGCTGCCTCACTCCAGTTCCAGCACAGTGGGCTCAGACGCTGGCTCCCCTGATTACAGCAAGAAGACTGAGCATGATACGGAGATGGCAGTGAGAGGTGTGTGCTGGGTTGAGGATGATAACATGAGTCTCAGGACAGAGCCCAGTGGAAATGGTTCAGGTTAGGGATATATGGAATAGTCGACTAGTTGCCTGTCCGATAAGCAAATGCTTATCGGATAGTCAACAGGATAGTCAACTAGTCGCTTCCCTTCCCCTTGCTGCCTCTATCAGATAGAGGTAGAAAAGGAGAGAGCAGAGGGAAGTACTTCAAAGCAACAGTGCCGCATGGAGCCTGGGATCAGCTGGGGACTCCCCAGCTGACCATGGGCTCCACACAGCACTGCCCCTTTGAAATGCCGTCACGGCATTTCAAAGGGGCAGCGCCACCCTATTGAATAGTCGATGTAAAAATGCATCAATGATTCGATTAGTCAATTACATGCTACTTAACATGCTTAGTTCAGGTTGCAGGGTTTGGTGCTTGCGTGCAGCTTAAATTAATTATATTGCAAAATAAGTGAAGGAGGCACTGGGCTTATGGGTAAACCATCCAAAGAGTCTCTTAGATCCTGACCTGGTGAAGCCTGAGTGTTTGTGTGAACGAACCACTGTAAACAAGCATCATCTGCAAAGCCCAATGAATCAGAGAGGATCCCTGGGCGATTTCTCCATTGTCTCCTGGTGCTCATGAAAGAATCAGCCTGACTCCCCGCAGCAGGCTGAAGAAATGAAAGACGGTCATTAATGGTACGTGTGTGCCCAGCAAAAGTCACCGGCAGGTCTATGCTGTGGAATCAAGCAGGCCTGATTCTAGGGCAGGACAAGCAAGGTGGTTGCCTTGGGCCCCATGTCTTGAGGGCCGCAGGCTGCCCAGCGTGCACCCTCCTCCCCCCCGCCCACTCACTCGTTGCCCTGGCTGGGAGGCACCCAGTCGCATGGCGCAACTGCTGTCAGCGTGCCGCCTTGGGACCCGCAAACTCTTCGGCTGGGCCTGGGATCGTGTCGGGGGCTGCATATGCATTCTGCATTCAGCCGTGCTGACTTTCCTGCACGCAGCTCCCCCTTTCCTGCAGGAGCAGAGTCGCTGCGAAGAAGCCTAGTGGATTAGTTCTTCCCTATAGTGCTGCCTTTGCTGGTGGGAAGCAGTGAGGGGAAGTAGGCAGGAGGACTAGCAGGCTTCTGGACAGTTAGGTACAGCTGCCAGACCTTGGAGATCTCCCTCTCCCAGAGCTGATGTAACGAAAGAGCCAAGCCATGAGCAGGCACAAGGCAGCTGCCAGGAGGAGCTAGTGACGTCTCTTGTTTCCTCTCCAGATCCTGACGGTGTCAGGGCCCCCCGAAGGAGGGACACGAGTGACCATCCACGGCGTGAACCTGGGCCTGGATTTCTCCGAGATTGCCCACAGCGTGCAGGTGGCGGGGGTGCAGTGCACACCCCTGCGGGAGCAGTACATCATCGCAGAGCAGTAAGTGCGCTCGGCCTCGCTCTTAGAGCCTCACAGGTGGGTGGACCGCGGCCCTTCAGGAGGCCCGTTCCTCACACTGTCCACCCATGAGTCAGAGGCACTGCCTGCCTCTCTCCTTCCTGCTCTGCAGAGCTACGGCAGAGCTTTCAGGGCCAGATCCTCAGGGGCTGTAAGCCAATGTCGCTCCCCTGACTTCAACGGTGCCACTTTACACCCGCCAGGGGATCCTGTGCTTGGATTTCCTCCCAGGGATTAAACAGCCCTTTTAAAGGTTTATTAAGCATTTTGTTCCCTCCTGCACCACGGCTCCTGCTTCGCTAAGCAACTTTAGTATGAGCACCTTGCTGTTTACCCTCAGCCTTTCCACCTTCCTCCCCCCCCCCCCCCACTTCTCTGGTTGGAATGCATCCCGTGCTGCTGGCTGCCGGTAACCATTTGTTAGGCATGTGAGGGGTGACAGCAGTTTAATCCGAATAGGCCTCCACTGGAGTCAATTCATTTATTTCGCTGAGAAAAACGTCAGCCGAAAATTAGAAAATAGGCACATAACAGAGGACAGGCAAATAAACCTCCCAAAGTGACACATGTCCCCATTGCGGGGGAGGGGTTTTTTTTTTTTATTGTCAGAGTTGTGTTTTATTTTAGCCAAGGTGCCAATATGCCTATGAGAGGGGAGGGGAAGGTGCATTCATGCAGGGCAAGATGGAATATGCTAAGCAACTTCTTTTTGAGTAATCTTTACTGCACGGGCAAATGGTCAGGCAGCCAAGTACAGACACAGCACAGCATTGCAGGAGAAACCTAACGGCCTGGGAGTGGACCTGCGCCAGGGTCTGTCGCCACTGGAAGTGGCTGTTCTTGAATGGTGTGAGTGAAAAGACCTTGGTGGGTCTCAGTCTGGCTCCCAAAGTGGAGGCAGCGTGTGTCCCTAAAAGCAGCTGGATTTAATTCACCTCTTTGCTTGGCAGTCCCAGCAAAGCAGCAGTGTCTCTAGCTAAAGCACCTGGGGACTCAATTCCTTGCATGTGGACGAAACACAGCTTTTAGGGTGAGAAGAGGGAGCCACTCAGTGAGCTAGACCTGTCTACAAGGCCAGGGTGCAGGAGAGCTGCTCTGGAGAGCTCTGGCATTCAGCTTGAGTTCCCCTTTGGATTGCCAGGTTCAGCTCCTGAGCCTATTCCCCAGACTCTGCACTCGCCAACACAGGGTGAAGTCAAGGTCCAGGTCAATTCCTGCCACTCAGATCAGTGAGGGGAATGGAATGTGGGTTTTGGTAGCCCCAGGCAGTAGGGAGAAGGGACTTCAAGCTGGGCTGAGCCCATATTTTAAAAAATACTGTCCAAGTGGTTAGAGCAGGAGACAGCAAGATGGGATTTGGGGATTCTGTTCCAAGGTTGTCCATTCATCTGCTGTTTAAGTTTAGGCAAGTCACTTGAATCCCTCTGTACCTCAGTTTACCCATCTCTAAAAAACGATAACATTATCTACTGTTGTTACTGGGGGCAGCTAAGGTTATGTCTAAACTACAGCCTAGCAGCGTGATGCCCCTCTTTGATGGTCACCTACGCTGGTTCTCATTAAGCTAATGCGAGTATAAGTATTAATGACACTGTGGTGGTATGGGAGGCTGCTTTGGAGTCATGGCTGAACCATGCTGAGTATGTATCTGCCAGTTTCAGGTTGGTTTTACTTGGCACAGTGCAGTCATGCCACCTCTAACAGAGCTACTGTGGCTACGCTGCTTTTTTATACTCACGCTAGCTTGAAGAGAGCACAAGTACGTGTATATGAGCAACAAATTCACACACCTAGCTCTTAGCATAGACATCACCGGAGTGCTTTCAGATCACAGATTGAGAGATGCTACAGAAGTGTGAAGTATTAATATTATTATCGGAATGGCTCAAAGCAGGGCGCTAATGCCACTTTAAGACCCCGTTCTCTGCCCATTATGGTCTAAAACTGCCGTATTTCGTTCTTGAAATCAGGGATGGGAGATTATAAAATTACCCTCCTTTGATGGTGGGAAACCCTGATTTTATGATGACGATTCCAATTACAGTTCTTCAGCTTTCCAAGTTTGTTAACATCATTAAAACATTTATCCTGGGCAGATAACAGCAAGTGTTCGCATGAGAGCTGCCTTTTATAGATGAATCTGGATAAAAGGACCCTCTTCAGGGTTCTGTGGGCAGACTGAATTCCGAGACGATAATGACTCGCCATATGTTCCAGTCATGCAATCTATCAGCCGGCAATTAGGTTAATGTTGGTTAAAGGGCCACTTAGCCCAGTAATCAGCACCCTACAGCTCTGCCGAGTGCATCATTTTGTAGGAGGGTACCTGCTGGGATTTTGGCCTGGACTAGGAATCGGAGATCAGATGTAGCCAGCAGCTTGTGCCACCATCCCAAACTCCCAACATCTCTGGCGATGTATGCAACCACATGTCCCCTATTACTTGTTCTGGGATGATGCACAGATGTTTTTGGCCTGCTGACAAATGAAAAGCCCATGTTATTGGCTAATATTTGGTTATTTGATCTTCTCTTGTGTTTGTTGAAATCCTGCACTAGTGTCCCCTCTCCCAGTGCTGGACTGAGCCATAGTTGCGCCCCAGGCAGCAGGTGCGAGGTGCATGTGCAGCCCCACCCCCGGGCGCGCAGCACCCCTTACCACTTCAATCAGGCGCCCCCCATCGGTTGGTGCCCCAGGCAGCTGCCCGGTTAGCCCGCCCTCTCCTCCTGTGTGGAATAAAACCTGGGTCCCACCACTCTTCCTTTACAGCTTCTGCCATTAGTTCCTGGTTTTTGGCTGCCCATCTGGTGGAGGGAACAGAGCTGATCTCCCCTCTCTGAAAACTGTGGCAACCACATTGCCCCGCCTTGTCTAAACAACACTTGCTCAGCCCATTGACTGCCAATGCCCAAAACAACTGCTCTCTTTTTTCTTGCTGCTCCTGCCTTTGCGGAGCAACAGCAGCCAAACGATGCTCCAGGGAGAAAAGTCTGCCTAGTTGAAAGGAGAAGAGAGAGCAAAGCTTGGAAAATTTAGGCACAAGACGGAGACACTTGAACCTCTGTTCTCCAAAGGCAGCGTCTCTACAGGAAACCCATTTTGATGTGTAGTGATAGCAGCTTTCACATTAAGGCTCTTTGCTAGCATGTTTGTGTTTTGTTACGCCTCCTAGCATTGCTGAGTGTTTTGTCTGCAGGTTTCTTTTCCTGTTGCTTTTTTAAAATCCTTTTTATTTGCTAGTGAGTTTAGCATGGGTGAGAGCCGCTCAAACAATAGCTCCAGAGACTGAAGACTTCTGTTTATCTAAGCACAAGTACAAGCTTTCCTCACTCTCTCCCAGCCAATGTATCCTCAGTCTTACTCTGGGAGGGACTTCAGTATCTATGAACCATCTGCCTGTGGCCTTTCCCATTGGGACTGACCACCAGGGACCAGCCAGTTCTCTGCAGCAGGGTTTTCTATTATAAGTGTGTGTGTACAGGTTGAACCTCTCTAATCCAGCACCTTCGGGACCTAACCAGTTCCAAACCAGATCATTTTCCAGACCATGGGAGGTCAGTATAGTCTAGTCACATTACCAACACTTCCACTGCTTGCTGGGCTATTAGAAGACATGTAGGGGTAAAATAGAGCTAAATCACAGCACAGAACACTGGGAGCCAGGACTGGTGGCTGTAAACACACTTTATGGGACCATGGGAAACTTGACCACACCCAGGATCAGTGGACATCTGGATAACTAAAATCATGCCAGACCATGGATGTTGCGAGACCACAGAGTGCCAGACTAGAGAGATTCAACCTGTATTAATATCTATCTAGCTATCTATCATATCCCATTCCATGTATCCAACCACTTAATCTACAGGGCCTTCACTACCAGGATATCTGAGTGCGTAGTCTGCTTTTCACAGTTGATCCTCTTTGTTCACCTTTCTTGCTCCTCTCCGTGTGGACAGTGAGACTCAGCTGTTTTAGTCTGTCTGGTTAGCAGGCTTTAGCAAACTGCTCTGGTGTATGGTGTTTCCAGCACTACATTGGGAATGTCTCCTGGCAAAATCCCTTTTGAGGCATTGCTAAGGATCCACACCGGCTGAGGTCACTTCAAAAACTTGGGTTCACTGCCTCTCTATTGAATAGCGTGTTGTGACAAATGATGATTTGGTTCTTGTTTTGAGTAGATGTTAACTATTACTGCTGCTGCCCTGGTGAGCATAGGACCCATGGAGATATGTGTCATGCAACCATGATCAAGCTGTTCCTTTATTTTTTTTCCTGCTTCTCGCCCCACCCACCATCCTGAGCTGCCATACGGATCCATTATGTTTCTGTTGAGTATCTTACATTCACATTCAAAACATCATAATATTTTACACCTTCCCTTCCTGAGAGCACACGTCTGGGTACCCATCAGGACTAGATGAAGTATACTTTGCACAATTCAGTTCCACTAACCTGCTTTCCTCTGTATTGGGAGTATTCTCTAGAAGTCAAACTTGCCTTCTACGCCAAGGCCTGTATCATTTGTCTGTCATCCATTAACGGGCCTCTCCATTTCTTATTAAACAGGAGCCTACAATGTGCGTTGTTCCATTAATGAACTCATCCATTACTCTGCGGACTTCACAGTCACTTTGCTTCAGGCTAATAAATTTGCCATTAGAGCTCTGCATTGCTCTGGAGTTTACAGCTTGTAATAATTATGTCTAATTTTGAGGTTTTTTTTCTAAAATTACTACATGGGGGGGGGAAATAGACTCAGTAATTAGCACCTTCCAAAGGGGCGAGCAGCAGGCATCAAAATAAAAGGGAGAAAAGGAATCGTCAAGCTGACTAAGTTGCTGCTGCGTCTCCCGACTATGGTCTCATTGTGGGCTTTATATTTTCAGGATTGTGTGTGAGATGGGGCAGGCACTCCCAGGGATCAGCTCGGGGCCAGTGCTCCTCTGCATTGGAGAGTGCAAACCTGAGTTCATGGCCAAGTCCTCCCAACAGTACACGTTTGTGGTGAGTATCTGGGCAAAACCAATGCGGGGGAGATGGGCAAGCTAAAGCATCTGCTTTGATTTTGGCCCGATGCATGCACTAGGACAGGGCTACTCAACAGTGCCCACAGTGCACTTTGGGTTTACATGGGGCTCAACACACGGCCCATGGGGTGGAGTCAAAACAAAAAAGGAGTCAATATAATGGTCTTCTGCTACTATGCATTTTAGTAATTAAATTCCTGGACAGTCACTGCTCATTAAAAGTGTTGTCATATGGGTGGAAATGGGGTAAATATTGCATTTTATTAATACCAGCAGAACTGATTTAAATGGAGCCTGCGTGTTGTGTAGTCTTGCTTTAATCTTTGTATCCATGCCTGTCAGTGTGCAAGACACTATTTGCATATATTTGCATATATATTTGCATGTATATGCAACCACAATTAAGTTGCAGCCCTCGTCATGTGCTGTGAGTATCATTGTGGCCCCCAGGGCTTCAAAAGTTGAGTAGCCCTGCACTAGAACATGCCTTCAGTGGACTAGTGATGGGGAGGGGAGTTGATGGAAAGCCATGAAGTCCCGAATTCTAACTATGACTCTTCCCTGTCACATTGTACAAGCTGTTAAACTCCTAATCAAGCAGTCTCATGTTTCAGACATGCTCCCATGCCTTCCACTAGCCTTCAACCTGAATGTAGACTTAGGTGACTAAATGTATGCCCCCAGACCTCTGTTTTATTTTCCAAGT